CACTCTAAATACAGATACTAACACCATTCCCACGTGAAATAACCGAGAAAGACAGTATTTCGGCTTGTCTATATTTTGTCATGATTACTGGGGAGCAAGCCAAGCACATTCCATAAGAGGACAATGGACATTACCAGGGAGAAGTTACTGCTTCACTAGTAAATCCTACAAAAATAAGATGAGTGGCTGCGGATGCAATACATACTTACAAGATCAACCCACTTATACAAAAAACACAAAAGTAGGCCACCCAATGGTTAGAACATACAATCGAAAGTTTTAGGAACTGATTACTGCTTATTATGGACATAATTTCAGCAAATTATAGAAAATTTGCACCAGTAATTAAAGAAATATTAGTTACAAAGAAAGGTTCTCTGTATAAAGACAAGCAAAAAAGGAAAAAAGTTACCACCTAAAGAAGGTTGCCGGTATGGCCAAGCTACAAGGCCAGGCTACAGACATGCAATCACGTGGACGTAAATTCGAAAGAAGCTCAGGCTGGCAAGATTTGGATCGGTGACTTTCCTCCCTATACGCCATCTTAACGTCATACAAAGCCTCAAAGAGCAGGGAAAGTTTTTTAGGCACTCCGAAACTGATTATCAAAGCCACAAAAAATGCCATTATAACCCATTAACATCATCGATCTTCCATTTCCGCTGCAGTGGAGAGCAGAAAACAGTTAATTTGTATGTCAAAATAATCATTTACATTCTTGCTCAGGTATTTCTATCTTCCTGCCTAATGCACATGATTTCCAGGTGATCACATGATTATTTGCATAAAAGCATAAGCAAACAAAGAGTGAATGAACTAAAAATGACATGAGAGTTCTACATTGATGGTTCCCTGGGCCAGCTACAGAAATTACTTTAGTGTGGACGAGAGTCACAGGACAAACCGTTAACTTCCATCAAAATTTTCAGATCTGTGCGCATGCAAGCACCTATGTAGTTCCAATCATCTCGTTAAAGCTCAAATTTCCAACTGGACTGCTGACTGGCCTTCTTCCATGAGCAACAAGCAGTCAATGGAATCCCCACACAAGACCTCCTCTGCCACCAATGACGAAGAAGAATGGGCCAGTCCATATTAATTTCACCCTCATTGTAGAGCTGAGCACCTTCTTTCAGCTCACACTTCAATCCTACGAGAATGGAAAGAAAAGGACAGGAAAAACACTGCAGTACAAGCTTGAGGATACATGTGAAAGCATTTTAGCATATTCTTCTGGAGTCCTAGGAAAATTCACCACGAAAGCCTCATAAGATGCTATAGTAGGCCCACCAACTTCCTTAATGCTTCTAATGCACTGCATATACAGTAAAAAATGTGCTATCAACACAAATATCAAAGGTTTTTAACAAATTTTTGTTTTAAGCTTCTACATATCCTCTATTTTACAAATTCAGGACCACGTGCAGTGAATACTGTTAGATGCTACTACAGCCTCATAAGAAATCTCAATGTATAAAGCAAAGTTAAGAGTATCCAGAAAAGGGAAGCACTACCTCTGTGGAAAAGAAGGTACTAGTTCCTCAATTACTCTAACAATTATAGAACCATCATCGTTTTCGTGAGACAATGTCTGCTTTTCTTCTACCACTGTCATGGGTGAAAAAGAAGTATTTCAGTTTTCACTTCCTACCACAAAGATGGGAGAATACAAAAAAAATAATAAATAATAATAATAATAATAATAATAATAATAATAATAATAATAATAATGAAAATAAAAAGTAAAACAATGTACCATTTGAAAATAAAAATTAAGTGTTTTTCAAGCACAAAAGAAAATCAAAACAAAGGAAAAAAGGCCTATCTAAGCCATTTTTAATTTTTACTAATACAAGAAAACTAAGAACAAATGCTAAAAATCAAGTAAAACTAGAGATGGCAGGACCATTACTACTCGTTCTGCAAACATTAGTGCGATGCTACTACTTATATGCAGAGAACGATCACCAAACAAATCTAGTAAATTACTAATTACTAGTTGACATTTGGCAAACAATTTCCTCAAATGATGTTTAGTTTACCATCTTCCGTTATTTGTTCTTCTGTTAAGATATTGGATACCACTGAGACAAGAAAAGCATAGGCATATATTTATTAGACATCAGATACAGTTAATAATTCGTGTATATCAAAACGTAAGAAAGTACATGTATTCTACCCAAAAAAATGGTGTAAAACTTTTGCTTCTTCATTTTCTGTTGAATCGTCCTATGTCCACACTCCATAGTGATCTTACACCATGGAGATGACTCAACTTACACTGACGAACACCATTTTTAAACTTTCAGAATTGCTGATGCATGTACAATGCAAACAGACTGACATAAACTGAGTTCCCATCATGTGAAACCTAACTACTAGAATTAATAGGAGTCCAACTTGAAAACGCCACAATCTCTTATAGCAATATTATAATTAATGAGAGCAGGTAAAATCCTGATAATTTGGGACTGGTAACTTTACACTCCAATACAAGGGGACTTTACACAAATAACAAAGAAAGAAAAAACTAATATGTGATTAGTATTAGAGTTTAGTAAAGAAGTTATGGAGAAAACTTATTGCGAATGATGGATTTCTTTTTTCTTCAATTTACTCCAGATGATATGAGAGAAGGAAAAAGGAAAAATAACAAGAACAAGAAAAGATAGTTCAGATACCTTCTTGAGTTGCACAATCACCTCTGAGATACAAAGTATCATCCCAGTTTAAATCCAAACCTTCTGTCTTTGCAAACTCCTCCAACACGTGACCAATGAGATTATAGGCAACTATGCTTGTCTCATCACAAACTTCTTGAACTGCAAGGTATTTGTTTTTACAAGTGGTTTGTTTCTCATATGTATCTTCTGGCTTGAGATGCAGCAGGTTTTCTGTGTTCATTCCAGTATTACATTCAGGTTCATGTCTTTCAATATAATTACCATCTAACCCTCTTTTGATACTACTGGAGTCAAGAGAATCTCCTTGAGTGGAGAACATGGGTTCCTGCCCCTCAACAAGTACACTTTTGTTAGGGGTAAGGAGAGGATAACAGTCATTTCTGGTAGTTTCAGCAGTAGGTGGCTTGCAAACAAATGGTGTTGACTCCGCGGTACTTTCAGCTTCATAAAACGAATCATTAGAATGAGATATATCACTTCCACATAATCCATCTTTCTCTAGCCGACCATTATTTTCGTTATCATCACCATTGGACTTATCATCATCATCATCACATTCCTCCATTTCTTCCATATATGCGTCATCAAAATCTAAATCCAAGTCATGGTCAGGGGACAAATCCCAAACAATCTGCTTTACCTGAGCACTCACATTCAGTATACATTCTACCTCTGCTTCAATTTCATCTTTTGTGATGCGTCTACGCGGTTTACTTTGTGAATTCCTGTTGATAACAACAAGAGTTTCTAATAACGCCTTGGGAATGGGATCCATATCACCACAATCGAAAAGATATTCAGTTAGCATTTTCCTAATTGCTGTTCGCAAACTCCTGTTTGACACTTTAGCATTTGGGTCTAACAGAGTCTTTAAGTTCTTCAGCTCTGGTATTCTAATCTTTGTTTTAACTAACCAAATAGCCCTAGCTATCTCATCCTGCAATATCTTTATTTCTGGTGTGAATTGGTGAAACTCTGTTATGGTGGAATTATGAAAACCTGGTATCAACTTCAGCGATAAGCCTACTACTGCCATGGCTTTGGTTAATGGCTCCTGCAGTTCATCACCTATTGAAAGTTCTGAAAGCATCTTTTCAATTGTTTTCCTCACTTGATTAATTAGACTGTCTCGATTCCAGCCACTTTTCTTAGGCCGTAATTGCGGTAGACTTAGTCGCCCTCCTTTAAGCTTTCTGTGCATTGCAAGTAGGGTCTCATAAGGCAAGTCCCTGAGTCCATCCAGCACCTTTCTAACAGCAGCATGATGAGACTGTAATCTGGAGGACGAAAATGTGATAGAATTATCCTGGAAATATTGTGGGTCATTGAGAAGTTGAGATATCTGTTTAGATATTTCCATTTTATCATTATGATTATCTTGTCTTCCAAAAACTTTTGGAAGAGATTCTCTGATAACCCTTTTCATCTTCCAACGAGTTTTCTCAAACTTCACTGAGCGTCCTGTTAGTATAACAGCAAAAAGGTAAAGACCCTTGTTAGTTAAATCATCAAGGCATGATGACAAGGCTCCGGATATATAGGGTGCATCAAGCAATTTCATATCATCTTGAAATACTCTATTCCCTCCTTCAATATCACATGCTCCAAAAGCTGTGTCAACAGAAGATTTTACAGTCTCATAGAACATCTGGAAGACAGATATTTTGAGTAGATCATTAGTATATTCAAGAAAATATATTCTAATCAAACAGTTTCGGCATAATGCTAGAGCAACACAAGCATGGCAGAAGAAACACATAAGACAACTATGATCCTGGCTGGGAATGCGTCTTTACGAAACACTTAATCAGCAGCGCTTTTGTTAAAAACACCAATATATATATGTATACATATATAATATATCAAACCAAAACTGCTTAACTAAATTTTAGTAGTACCTTAATGCAACCAGCTGACTGTGTTAAACCTTATATTGGTACAAGAAGAATGACAATCATATTAAACATGCATGATAACTTGTCGAAGAATAAAAGTATAAAGTACTGATACATAGCATACTGAATTCTCTATTACAATTCCAAGCAACATTATTATAGGTATTATGCTTAAGACTATTTAAATGTGTCATTGTATTGATTCTATGGTCCAGATGCCCCTATATACTTTTCTCTTCCTACTACATGATAAAAAGCATTAAAGTTCTAAAAATAAAATGACTGCATAGATGGACATCTAACTCAACTCTAATGTATCAAAACTAGATCCAATATTCAAGCATTTATCCCTAAGCTAAACAAAGTAAAAAAGAAAAAGTCATAAAGGAACTTGTAAACACGGTCACCACTACTCAATTGATTACATTAGTGAAAACTTTTTCAATAAGGGACAAAATCCTATAATATAGTTCATTTTTCCTTTTACACCAAAAGAGCACAAGAAAAACTGAACTTCACATTTGAGAACTTGCTAATAAAAAATGAAATGCCTAGAATGGGCAAATGATAATGTGAAATCATGACTCGCACGTATCCCTGCTTACATGTATTCATTCTTTGGTTTCAAAGACCTTGCTGCTTCATCCAAGCAGAAAGGTTCCTCTGACAATTGACAACCGGGAGCATCTAGGACTACTATTCTGTAACTGGATAAAATGTTCATTGGAAAGTATTTAGTTATAGATGGCAAGAGAAAAGGCTTGGCTGCTAACAACAATTCCTCAAAAAATGAAAAATGTCATTGATAAGACTCAAACACGAGCCCCGTTTCTAAAAAATAAGCAGAAATACCATCTCCGCTGCAAATAGAGCTTTCGCTATAATATAAATATAATACAAAGGAAGACAGATAAATATCATCCTCACCACCCGAGGGCCGGCATTGGGATCAAGCTCAAACTTTTTTTTCTTTTGATAAGAAGCTCCAGATTTTAAAGGAAACTCAAAAATAAAGAAGATAGCTGTATATGCATAGCTTCAGTGGGTAACTTCCAGGGGTCGTCTATGCATAACCTTGAAAAGTGAACCATTCATAGCAAGTGGTTGTCTACTTTGCACGCACTTCCATGCGCAATTCTGATTATTATCAATGTGATAATTTACATCATTAAAGAAAAAGAGCATTCGGCATTTTTAAGGTTCAACTGAGACTGCCATCCAAACTTTAAAAACTTGAGACAAGGCCGACATTTCTAGATTCCTAAATTGTTGATAACCCAAAATATTCATATTCCATGGCTACGAAATGCATGAATTACATAAAATCTTCTTTCAAATCGAACACTTTAACGGAGATGAGAAATTAACTTACATCGTCTTCCCTAAGAAACGATTCCGGCAAACACGTGTTGTTCAAGAACTCACACATCTCCAACTTCTTCTGCTCGGATTTGGAAGTAGGAAGCCCCAACAACCACCTGCACGGATTTCATCAACACGTTGCAGAAAATTAAATAAAAAAATCAATCAATCAATAACATAACGTTAACATCACCCTCACAACAATCAAAATAAAATCGGGAACAAAAGGAAGAGCGAAATTGTCATAATTCACACACAATCTGGATTCAGGAACTCATTAATGGAAAATTGGTAAGCAAAAAGGAGAAAAAAATTTATTTGAATGACCTCCTTTTGAGCTGTATCTGCTTCTCTTGGCGTTTAATTTGTGACCAGAGGGACTCGCAATCCGTCTGGTAAAATCCCAAGTTCTCCATAAGCTGCGATCTTGCCATTGATGTCTGACAGAGAGGGCGGGAGGATTAGAGAGTGTAGGGTTAGGGTTTTAGGAGCCGCTTAATGAGCCGAACCACTCGGCTTTGGCTAATCAATTGGGAAATTGACGGCTTTACCCTAGCTCACCTAATTTAGAGATTTTCCATTTAAATCTCACACTTCTTTTAGTTTATCCAAATACTTAAATTATTAAGCTGTCAGTTTTATTATTGTGTAAAAAAATAAAAAACGTCATCCAACTTAATACTTAACTCTTCAACTTAAGTTTTAGAAAAATACAAACTCTTCTATATCCTATGCTAGATTACTTTTCTCTTTTAAAGACGTCGAACATTGACGAGCCTACCTTTTTGAAATCTGCGTGGAAACTGATGGAAAGACTTGTTGATTGTTTCGTTGTAATGATCTTATTCTCTTCCCTTTGTTGGTTTTTTTTTTTTTTTTGGGTACTCTTGGCTGTTGATTGCTTGATTGTTTTGATTTTTGATTTAAAATTTATACCTGATGTTTTGGTAAAATTGTTCTCTTTCTCTAGAAAGTATGGGGTAACTTGAATTTTTCTACATATTATATTACTTGACATACACGTTCAAAAGGCACGAAACCCAAGGAAGCCACACAGGTGCTCAGCTGCAAAACTGAGTATGAATGGGTTTTCAGGTTGGAAAACCTATATGATATGACAAAGCAACTCATTGCTCATAGCCAAAGTAGAAGTACTTGTCTTTTGATATACGACGCAATTCTCACCTAAATTTTGGTATCTTGCCTTGTTTCAGTTGTGTTTTGATATTGATGCAGCTGTGTGTGTGTGTGTTTTTTTTTTTGGGTACAGTACATTACATTTAATATTGATATAGCTGTGTTTTGATATTGATGCAATTTTGCACACTTTTGGTACAGTACATTGAGTCTGAAAAGGTCCTACACACTTTTGATATTGATGCAGCTGTGTTTTTTTTTTTTTTTTTGCAGCCAGAATAAAATAATTTACTCTAAGCCATGATACTAGGACAGAAAGTGTTACTTCATATTAACAGTAAGTACTAATATTACTTTTATGTTACAATTATACTTGTTGCTCCTTATGTTTCTTTACTTTGTAGGTGAACCATGATACTCAATCATCAGCACTCGCAATTGTAAATATTGAAACTACACTGCCTAAGAAGCGGCCACCAAAACTCCCAGTATGTACTTATATTATTTTGATTAACGCATCAAAATTTCATCACCATAATACTTGTACTTTTTTTTTTTTCAGGTGCATAAGCAACAAATTGTCAATCCCGAAGACTTGACACAACAATATAATGACAAACTTCCAGCTGCTATAAGGCCATTTATTATTGGGGTCAAAGATGTAAAATCTAATGGCAATTGTGGCTTTAGAGCCATTACTGGGTTGCTAGGTTACGGAGAGAATTATTGGCGTAAAGTAAGGAGGGAGTTACTGAACGAGTTGAAAAATAATGAATTTCTTTATGAATTTATCTTTTAGAGTGTTGAAAGTAAGCGTGAGGTTGAGTATCGCTTGGATTATTTTGATGATTACCCTTTCGAAGATAGATGGATGCTTATACCAAAAATGGGTTACCTTATTGCAAATTATTACAATGTGGTCTTGATGCATTTTTCAAATGTCATATCTCTTATGTTTCTACCAACGGAAAGTCATCTTTTGCTTGAATATCAACGTCGGAAAATTTCCATTGAATTGGTTGAAAAACACTTTGTGCAGGTATTATAATAATTTTTTGGGAAATAGCTTAAAATGCCATCCATTTCATAATTTTAACTAAAAATACCACCCCTTCCTAATTTTTTTACAACTACTACCTATAAATATAAAATTATTGTCCACTTATTGTTCCCATATCAGTTTTTCAGAAATTGGCTTCTCTCTCTAACTCTCTT